TCTATTTGGATTATTCAATACTGTTGCCAGAGACGTGCCTGGCGGAAAGCGTATTCGGAATATAAATATTAAAGCTCAACATACTCTAGTCATAGTAAAGCCATAAAAGACAATTTCCACAATTTGAGTGTAATAAGAATATATTTGAAAGTAGCGTTTTGTCTTAACTTATGACATTTTCAGACAGACTAAGTGATAAATTACATGCAAATTTGAATATGTAGACTCGTTCAGGGGCGGATCTAGACTATATCAACTGTATCAAATAATACAGTCAGATTTTGCCGAAAATAATATCTTTTGACTGTAAGAATTCCTATATTAATATTTATAAATGCTTTTATTTCATCATTTTACATCATTTAGAAATCGCTTTTTCGCCGGTTACGGAGCAATTTTTGGCATTTCGCATTCGCCAGCCTACGGTTCACTTCTACCTGCTAACAAGCCCGCTTTTTGGGAGTTTGCTTCTTCGTTCAACTCAATAACATAACTCAGAAAGACATCGTCGTAGCAGTTGAGATAAAAATAGAACATTTTTGATACAGTCTGCGGGGGGGTATAAGCTATATTTAGACCGTTCGACTGTATCAAACCAATCAGAATCGCGATCACTGATACAGTTTGATACAGTCAGATGCTGAGTCAGCTACATTGCTCTATTTGAACGATGTCCAACATTCCACGCAAAAGGCGCAAGTCTCATTACAAGCAAACTAAGTCTATACGCAGTTTATCTGGCTATCGTGGCATCGCGCGTTCTGTTAGAGAAGTTGAACTGTGGCTCAATAAGCGAAATTCTTTGGCTGAGAAGGTCGAAGAGCTAACGAATATCAAAATTCATGCGAGAATGATTTTTCTGCTGCTCAAAGACGGGAATAAATCGCGAGATATACACATGTCAATTTGCGGAGCTACAGTTACCCGAAAGCCAGCGATTGCGCTCTTATAACCATTATCCCGTCAGGTAATTACAAAGCTTTGTGAATATATTAATATCTTATTCGTTGTGATGATTTTGTAAAGTTAATTTGCATTATGAGTGGAAAATCTGCATGGTTAAATTAATATTCATGTTTGATATGTATACAATGATAGCATCGCGTTAGGATCAATGCACGTGTTTATATTAAAGCCGCTATTATTAATATTTTCTTAAGGCTGGTATGCTAATAGAAATAGTACTAAAGTCGTTACTGTCGTTAGAAATTTGCCTGAATCATTTCCTAAGCTTTGTCCATCTAGTTTTATTATAGCTATGAGTTTATGAAACGGAGTTTGCTCTAAAATTTTGACTGTGAAATATGAAATGCTCACGATGGGAAATATGATACCACTATGCCCCATGAATAACCTTAACATTATATAAGTCTAGTCAATGACTGCTGGAAGTAGAACTACCTTTAATTTACTGCAACTTACAAATTTATCAATTTGATAAGAATATATAATCATAATAAATTTTTTAAGTACGCATTTTAAAGCCGGGAAAAATCTTCTTTGCTAAGAAAAGCCGAAAATTTCGGTAATAAATATATCAGGAAAAGTACGCTCAAATCGCGAGAAATGGCATCTCCGGGCTTCCAGTTTCAAAAATTTTCCGGGGGGCCATGCCCCCGGACCCCCCTAGTTATGCGAGACCTGACTCTAATGAGTTAATGATATATAGATGAGAGTCCTCATCACCAAACTCAAGCCTTCTCTCAATGTTCAAGGCGACTCAGTCCCTCTCGATTTATTCTAGTCCTTATTTCGTATTTATCACCGTGTTATGACGTCTTTGACTTTGTCCCTTGTCCTCTCATGTACTGTTTGTCCTTACTTTGTCCTTGTGTTATTATAATAAATTACACTGTCACACGCTCTGGCTTTGATCTGTTTCATTTTGATTATTAGAAATTCGTCTAAATACTTTATTCGTCAATACTTCAATCATACACAAACTCGTTTTCTAGCACATCTCTTCTTCGTAATCTCCAGAAAAGACACCTTATTCTCGTCTGTACTTTTTCCAAACTATATCGTCTCTCGTCATTACTCAAAATAGAATGTTCACGTGTTCCGCGCATGCGATAATTACTGTCACAACTATCTCGTAACACTTAATTGCAGTGGCGTAGCCAGCCTGACGATTTTGTCCCGCTATGTAAATTTCGAGTTATAATTATTCATGTTTTTAGAAATTTATTGTTTTCACAGTCAGTGAACACCAAAATATTAGCATAGCGGGACAAATCGACAGGCTGGCTACGCTACTGAACACTTGTAATCACCCTTGAAAATTGATACTTTGAAAATTGTTACTTTGTAAATATAAATAACTAGTCTACTAGTCTACACAATCCAATCTGCATATAATTTATCACTTAGTCCCTAAGTTAAGACGAAACGTTACTTTCAAATATATTTTTATTACACTAAAATTGAGGAAATTGTCTTTTATGGCTTTACTAAAAGCAATATGTTGGGCTTTAATATTTCTATTTTGATTGGTAACTATACAGGGTGTATCAAAAAAAAGGTAATCCAACTTCAACAAGCTATTGTACGTGAACTACTCAGTCTATGAGCGAATTGTTTTCACATTCGGAAAGATCAGGCTTTTAACTATCGGATGACATGTTTTTAATACCAAATGGTGAAAAAGTGAGCACATACGAGGCTGATAAAAAATGTTAGTCGCAATCGCATATTTTCACCTTTGAGCCTAATTAAAGCAGTGCATAACAAAAGAAAAAAACAATTAATCATGAGCATGTCACAGCTTGCACTGGTTTTATGCCGCATTGCTTGGAATGTTCTCCTTATTCCTACTTAATATGCATATGCAGGTAGTTTATTCAAAAGCAAAAGTCCCAAAGAGAGTTAATTATCAATGGTTTTAGTCCCAACTCTCAGAGGTGAAAATATGCGATTTCGACTAACAATTCTTATCAGCCTCCTATTTGCTCATTTTTTCACCATTTGGTATCAAAAACATGTCATTCGATAGTTAAAAGCATATCCTTTCGGAATGTGAAAAAAATTCGTTAATAGAATGAGTAGTTCACGTACAATAGCGCACCAAAGTTGGATTACCTTTTTTTTGATACACCCTGTATAACCCAACCCAGGTACTTAGCTGAAAAACTATTCACTAGCATCAGACTGATGTACTTGTTAACAAATTAGCCATTTAATAGTAGAAAATAGAGAAAGTTGATTTTAACATAAGATTGATTTGGATTGTAACATAACGTCGCAGGGCAAAAAAATTACCGCTATCTTGCTTACCTTAAAAAAAACTTTCCTCTTTAAACGTAAACTCGAGGCCGTTCTTCGCTTCTCTCCTTTTTGTACGAACCTCCTCCTTTTGTTTCGATTTCGATATACTTCACCAAGAGAATCATTTAACATCTTATACAACGATAATTTTTTATTGAAACTGTAATACTCTTAAAAAACTTCCTTCAAGAAAGCAATTTCTCCCACAAAAAAATGCTCTCATGGCGGCAGCCACTTCGCCTACAAGTGAAGCCTATCACATTTCCCAAGATGCTTTAAGGCCTTAATACAAATTCCTATACGCGCTCGTTCACATGACCAATTCTAAAACCCTATGAAGACTAACCTATACAGGGTGTCCCAAAAAAAACGAAAACTATTGAAATCACCCATAACAATGCCATTGTTAGAGTTTGAATGCCTAAGCACTCTGTTGGGCCCACAAGTGTATAAATCGGGGTTGCCATAAGCATTTTTATTCATGCATATGATGCTGTAAAATTTGCTTGTTCGCAAAAATGATATTTATTAACAATATTTACAATTTACAAATATGGATAACATTATTCAAATGTGCATCTCAAGGACCATGACCTTCGACATGTCCCCTTCCTCTAGCAACACAAAGCATTTAGCATTTTATAAGTTGCATTAAATCCCCACGGGCTGAAATTCGTGAACACGGCATTCAATTTTAACAATGAATGATTTCAATAGTTTTCGTTTTTTTTGGGACACCCTGTATAATTGGCTGTTTAACATAATTATGTTGTATTTCCTTACGTACTTCATGTATTCCTGCCGAGTACCAAGTTCACAAGATCATTCCTTTGCGATTAAAGAAGAGTTTGACAATTTATTCTGCTAGCTAGGTTACTCCTAAAAACTACAACTAGCTTTATATGAAATAGAACTGGTAAGTCTGCGTGGCAAACTATATATACATAATTTATATATATTATTCCCGAGCGGGCGCTTTTTGACCTGATTTCGACGTTAACGTTGAAACGACGTGTGCCCACTGGGTATACATCTTTTTGTACAGAATGGCAGAAATACTTATTAGCTATAATAATTATACTCGATAATATAGATTAATTTGACTTGTCATAGTCATTTCATAATTTACGTTGAGACCGGGTTAGCTCAGGAAATATCTTGTGTACTTAGTTTAAAATAGCGAGGGGTTGCTGCATGCACGCATGTATTTCATCTTATCCGTCCTGTTGAGGGCCTAATTAAGATTGCCGAATTCAGTTAGAATTTTAATTCCCGAATGAACTGATAAGACACATATTTTTCAAAATAGGCTTACAAATCGTATTTCATATAAAACTATACTTGCATGTGTAGTTTTTAAGACTACATCTACGTTTTCCGCCTTATTTCAAGAAAAATTGCTCAAAACAGTGTTTCATTAGAATGCTGACGTCGACATTATAAACATAAATCCCTTAAATAGCAAACGGAAAAGAGCATCGATTTGAAATTCACCAGGAACGCTCATAGTGAAGAAATCATCTTTTTCAATTTCTGCGGTTTTTATGTAGAATATGATTATATTTTTGAGACTGAGAGAATTATCCAATGATGCGGGAAGGGCCAACGAGACTATTCTAGCACTTAAAAGGCATGTTTTACGGCAAATTCCCCAAAGATTTTATAGGTTTCTATAAATTAGTCACGTTACCCAGAAAAGCCTTTATTGCAATTTTCAATTTTGATTTTCCCATCAGAATTCAACCTGGATCAAGTGAGGATATATTCGCATATACGGGCAATCAAGCCGAAGAAAAGAAGATGTATAAAAAATGCATAAATGAGGATATATGTGTTTGTAGACATGGAGGCAATGTGATTTGTAATAGTCCGGAAACAATTAATGAATGTTCTCCACCAGAACAGAATCCGAAGCTTCAAAACCTACATGGAGGTAAGAAAAATATTGAACCAGAGAATCATCTTTTAAACAAAATTTCAGGTCATTTTCCAATTGCCGTGTCTCATTAGAAGAAATGTGATTTTGACATGTTTGGTTTATGGTAAGCACATATGCGATGTAGTACTTTTCAATAACTACAAGAATATTCTAACAACTACAAGCGCTGGTTGGAAACCCTCTATATAGTGCTACGATTTACATAATAGTCCTTCTCATCTACTTGCGCAGCAACACACGTTTAAACGATCTTACGCTGCGCAGTTTCAAAAGAAATTTGTGTTGAAAATATTACTCTTGTATCAATGTTCAATCAATCTAGAAATAAGGGGTGATAATCCCCTGGGAGTAAAGAAGGGGTGATAATCCGCTGAAAGTAAAGGAGATTAAATTATCCCCTATAAGTGAAGCTGGAGTGATAATCCCCTGGGAGTAAAGAAGGAGTGAAAATCCGCTGCAATTAAAGAAGGATTAATAAGCCCCCTGAAACAAAGAAGGGGTGTTAATCCCCTGGAAGTAAGGAAGGGGGTGATAACTGATAATCGCTTAACAGATGTGGAAGGGGTGGTAATCCCCTGAAATACGAAGGGGAAATAATCTCAATCCGGACCTGTTACAATTAATTTGAATATGTTTACATAAAATATATTGCATTGAGCCTATTGTCCAGAGGGTGAGTCTTGGGTGCACATCAAAACAACAAATACACGCAGTATTTCCCCATAGACGAAAAACGCAAAACCGAACTAAGACGGGGTAGTGAACTAGCGTGGCAAAAAGCGAAATTCGGGAAACTAGGGACGCAATTCAATTTAACATAATAAAAACATTAGAGAAATTTTCGTTGAACGTGTCAATTCGTTGATTGGTAACCTAATTTGCATAACTAAAAGCCTTGGACTTTGGAATTCACAGAAATTCGCAGTGGGAGACGCCAAAAAAATTGAAGCCACCGTAGATTTATAGGGTTTGTACCAGCTGCCAAGGTGCGTTCGATGAATTGTAACATGTACACTCATCAAATGTGTGCGGGTTTCTGACGAACGATCGATATTATCCTTTAAACAATACTGTGCTGTTTTCCCTTTTTTCATGCGAAGATTGCCAGTTTGCTTTGCCGCACACACCGTTTTCCATCCTCTTCGTTGATTTTTCAAGTGATACGCGGTAATGGCTTCGTTAATTTTTTCTGCATTTCGCACCGAAGTTGGCATCTTACCGTCATATACGCATTTTAATTTTCTACCGAAGGAGCATTGTCCAGCGAGTGTGCACTATGGTAGGAGCCAAAGACACGATGATACAATCCTAGGCAAGATTGTAATTCCCGAGATATATGCATTGTGTACCTGACGAGCGATCAAACGCCCTTCATTGCATAAATTGCGTTGACCACGCGTGGATAAACCTTTGACTGCACAATTATCGGTTAATCTGGTGCCGCAAGATTCTTCTCGTTTGAACACTCAATGATAGACCCCAGCATGCTTCTGGCGGTGTATACCCCAAGATGCATCCATCTGATTGGTTGACACAATTTTTGCCATTTGTCTTACACCTGCCCAAGCAATGAAAGCTGTTGCGACCTTTGATCTTTTAAATGTAATGATTTGATCTTTGAACCTACATGCTGTGTATGCTGCTAATACGATTGTGGCAATATGTCATGTAAACAACACCTCCAAGCATTGCCTCATTTTGTCAGCTGATCAGATGACCTTTAAAAATGGTTGGCTCACTTTAACTTGCATTTTCTGTGCAAATACTTGGCCGATTTTAATAAAAATTAAACCATTTAAAAGAGGACATTGTCCTCAGTAGATAGATGTTTTTTAGTTCTATATGTTTCAAATTCGCTATGATATTTACTTTAGAATGCATGCGATTTAGCTATTATTCGATATTATACCTCAAAGCGGCCTAATCCTTAGAATATTGCCCAAAACGCAAACAAAAACTGGTTACCGTGATTTAGCTCATATTTCTAGGATCATTTTGATATATTTAGCTTCAAAATCGTGCCTTTAGACGATTTTTGCCGATTTTTTACATAAACATTCATAATCTGCATCCTGGTATGTATTATCGCATCGCTCACGGCAAGCATTTCACAATAATAAAAAGATTCACCAAAAATTTCGGGCAAAAAAAGCCGAAAAACTGACCCCTTGGTCCAATTTTACGCCAGGAATCGATATGGGGTCAAAATTAGCCTAGGGGGTGGGCATCACAGACTTTTGTCACATTTTTGACACGCGCTTAGCAACGCTCATCAAGGCTCATCGCTTAGATCTTAAAATGGCTTATTTTTCCGATTCTTTTGCACATCCTTATCCAAAAATACATCGAAGTTATAACAGAATGATTATAGGCAAAATTAAGACAGTCTAAAGCCAACAGAGAACAAAATAAATTGACAAACAAAGTCAAACATGGAATTTCGAAAAGTATATGGTTGCCATGGGCAAGTAATTTAAGATAACAACGCAAGCTAGTATTTTGGCTTATAATTTTATTACAAGTGCGGCTTATAACTATCTGCCGATTTGAATATAGCATTTATATGACCTCTTCAAGCGCTATCGTTTGGTGGTATTCCGGTATCTTTAGCCGAAATACTTGCGGAGATATTCAATTTAAGCAACGGTCCCTTCTATGACACCCGACATTAGGACCTGCCGATATTAACTAAAATTTACATTATTTACTAAAATTTCAAAATTTACATAAATTTGGCTGCAATAGAAAGTATTTAATTATATTCGTCAGATATTAAGCTCTTCAGCGAATGGTATAACAGATTTCTGCCGTACATTGCCATAATATTATTTGGATCAGATTTCGCTAGAATTAGTTCATATTAATCGTACCGAAGCAATTTGACCCCTAAAGTCAATTTACGGCCACAAAAAACCCTTGATGGACATTTTTCGCATTATTGTACTGAGACATAAAGAGCAACCTCCAGTTTTGTGAAGTGTGGGCGTGTGGGTGGCAAACAGAGAGTGAATAGATATGAAGTGTGCAGCTCGTTTGGGCGTTGAGAATAATACATGAATTAACCAAATTTTTTAAGGGACATTTTGGGCGCAAAATTTGATTTTTTGGTTGTGAAGGTCGAGTAAACCACGCATGTAATAGCTGTTTTTGCAATTTCCCATTTTATGTTAATTCTTGTTCTTCACAGGGGGTGGACAAATACTAGTAGCCCCCTTAAAATGACCAGGGGTTGTTGTATGTACTTCTAGTCGTTATTGTTATTATTACATGATGTAAAATATTGGGGGCCAAGTATACAGCAAAAATATTTTTAAACTGAATCTCTGCTAAAAAGCCACAATCTTGGGTTATATTCTGGAAAACAATTCGAAAATCACATTTTTCAATAAAAAAGTTATAAAACTGATTCAATATAGAGAAACTTACATGATTTGTTGGTGATTTAGTTACTTTTTAAACGAAGCAAAATATTTCCTGAGCTAGGCAAACCTAACCTTCTAAGCTTCTATTATGCAATGAATTAAGGTGGTCTTATACAAAAAAATCACGATTTATTCTGTTTTTAAAATTTCAAGGGATGAAAACTTAAATGTTTCCCTAATCGATCCTGAATATTTTTTCTCAAAAAATATATAAAGAACGCGAGAATTAAACGAAAAGTTTTAACAATTATGGCTTTACCCCGAGCAAACAAAAGGGGTCCATTGGCTTTTTCTCTATAATTTATTAATATATGCAAAACGTTTTTCCTCGCCTTTCTTAGAAAACTAACTAAAATTCTCATATCCCTAATTATGGTGAAGATAACTCAAAAATTAATAATGCGAACTTGATAAAATTTTCATGATAGACTTTAAAGACACTTGGGTTGGACGTGAACCTAAAAGTGTTGTTTTTTCGCTCAGTCTAAACAAAATAACAACTGTTTATTTTATATAGATCGTAGAAGTTTTATATTTGCTGCCGGTGAAACGTTTAATACTAGAAACGTTTAATTCATTCGAGGTTCAGCTCTGAGGCAAAAATATTTTGAAATAAATAAACCAATTCCTAGTTTGTTATTGTTTTTACAAAAATCGTCAATTTTCCACCATGGTATTGGTCTGGTATGGGTAACTACGGGGTGTATAAAAAAATGTCCCAAATGTAAAATTTTAAAATTAGTTAACTTTCTCAAAGTAGGAAAGTATTTTAATAAACTGCCAAAGTTTCAGAAAAATTAATGCGTACTAGGAGCAACGCGCGACCCCTAATGGTGACGAATATTTTATTGCGCGCAGTGGATTAAACGCATCGATGATTTTAGCGTGACCGATCTCATGCATGCAAACGTGGGCAAATGAATAAATTGAAGCGAGAAACTGAACACAAAAACAAAGCGATGTATTCGTGATGTTATTTCTTAGCATGTCCACCATTTCTTTCTAAGCAAACTGCGGGTCGTCTGAGCATGGTAAACATTGAACGGCGAACCATTTGCATGTCCATCCGCTTAGATTTGCCGGTGGTAGCCTAAGCGATTTGCAAGAAGAATTTCGAACAAAATGGAGAATTTGAGACAGGACAGACAAATCATTATCCGTTTAGTGTTTACCATGCTCAGACGAGCCGCAGTTTGCTTAGAAAGAAATGGTGGATATGGTGGATATCAACGATGCATTTGATCCACTACGCGCAATGAAATATTCGACAGTCTTAGGGGTCGCGCGATGCTCCCAGTATGCATTATTTTTCTTGAAACTTTGACAGTTTATTAAAAACCTTTTCTACTTTTAGAGAGTTAAATAATATCTCAATTTCAGCTTCCAAGCTCTTTCACTATCAGTGGATAGAAACTACCCCCCCCCCCTGGTAACATAATTTTGTTAATGAAGAAACAAACTTGCCATCGCTATACCAGATAAGTCTTAACCATCTCTAGAAGCACAAAAATTTTCCAAATTCTGCAAAATATCCTGAAAAATGGAAATTTTACATTTGGGACATTTTTTACACACCCTGTATAGTGATTGAAGCCTCTTGCAAGACTTTTCCCACTAAGAGCTACTTGGCTTGCGTTATGGTATGAAAAGATTTTTGTATTTTTGAAAATAAAATAAAAATATTGTATAAGAGCACCTTAAATGGAAAGCCAATAGCTGATCGGAAACAACCACAGTCGTAAAGGTGCATTCAAATCAACGGTTTACCTGCTCCATTACGTTGCATGCACTTTCACTGTTTAAGTAATATTTAAAACACGAAAAGGAACGTTTTATCATATTTGCCGAGTATACAAATGCTAATTAGGATGAAACATTTAAAAATAAAGAATACTAATAACGTGACAAATTATATAGTGTGCCATCCAAATTAGTATTCCTGCTACTTTACAATGCAGTGAATGCACGTATAAAGCTAACACATGTGACTTCTTCGGGTTGATTTCATTGGCTAAAATACTTATGAGTTATTATATAATGATATGTTGAGGTAAGAATTAATTTAACTATATATAAGTAAACCTTCAAAACATCAAAACAGAACTAAAGTCTAAAGGCCGAATGTTGTTTTCGATTATTGAATTCACGCAGTCGACTCAATAAAAGCTTTAAAGTGATATTCGTTTTATCAAAATTATTATTTATTATCTAAATTATCGGCAATTGGTTTAAATGGAAACTTCCTAAAATGGTTTCAATCTTTCATCACTGAACGGAGAAGACGTACATGTTGCGAGAGCGAACTACCCAGTGAATTGCCAAACACTTATGGAGTACCTCAGGTTAGCATTCTAGGTTCTCTTTTATTTGTCATTTATATACATGGCCTAGTGTTTTGGAGTCTTACTCTGCATCACTTTATGCTGATGACACGTTAATCTATTGTCATCGTTCGTCATCACAGGAACTCAGTGAGAAGCTCTTTACACAGAAACCTTACAGTAGCAAAGTGGCTGAACGAACATAAACTTATTCTGATCTTAGAAAAATCCAAATGTATGCTTATTATAGGCAGCAATCGCAAATTCGAAAGTAAAGTCCCTCTAACAGTGTCGACTCTCGATCATAAGGTGGGCAATGTCTGTAGTTAAAGTATTTCGGAATTTTCATATCATCTGACTTTACATGGACACATCATGTTGAGCATATAGTGAAGAAAGTTAATCAAAGGCTTGGTCTTCTTAAATGTGTTTCTACTATACCTTTCAAAACACGTCTCCTTATTATAATAATATTGTTATGCCGTTATTTGATTATGCCGATCTAGTCTGGGGAGACAAACATAATTCAACCCTAATGTCTAGCCTTAAAATTTTGCAAAATAACGCTGCTAAGCTTATTCTGGACAAATTTAAGGAAATTCATCTGCATCGGGTTCCTTAAGGTGGCTCGATACAGTTTTCAAAAATTCCACTGTTCATCACTTTGACACGTTCAAACAACGCATTTTTATGATTTATTCCAGAGATGTTGGGGTTTTTATATATTTTGATGTTTCTACTTTTGAATCGTATTAGTTTTAGTAACAGATCGTCCGTTGCTATGGCGACATACGTGTACAAAATTCACTCCAAAATGACCAATTGCTTCGCATAATTGGAAAAAAAGCACGGTGACCCCCAACTTTTTTTCGTGCGTTGTTTTACTTGGAAGAAAAACTAACAATTAGGAAAATAGAAAAAAATTCTATAATGCCACATTTTTGAAACATGCAAACATGACATTTTTTTGATATTTTTTTTGCTATTATAGATTTTTTTATATTTTGCTAATTGTTAGTCTTTCTTCCAAGTAAGATGATGCACGAAAAAAAAATGGGGGTAACCGTGCTTCTTTTTCAACTATCCGAGGCAATAGGTCATTTTGGAGTGAATTTTGTACACGTATGTCGCCATAGCAACGGACAATTTGATACTAAAACTTATACGATTCAAAAGTAGAAACATTAAAATATATAAAAACCCCAATATCTCTAGAATAAATTGTAAAAATGCGTTGTTTGAACGTGTCAAAGTATGAACGATGGAATTTTTGAAAACCGTATCGAGCTAACTTAACTACTTTTAAGTGGGTGCCGTTAGTAAAGAGACGTTATCACAGGAGATGTGTCTACGTGTATAAATGTCTAAACAGTTTCGTTGATCACGATATGAAATTATTACGGCATGAAGACCAACATACGTACTACTAGAAGCAAGGACAAGCTTAGAATCCCTATTGCTAGAAGGCAATGGGGTCGATTTTAACTCACTAAATTAATAAAGACAACAATCAGAAAATGTTGCTATTTTTAAACGTAACATTTTGAAATTAGATTAGATTATTTTTAGTGCAAACATAGTCACATAGATAGATATAAACTGTTGTTTGTTGTTATATGATTTTGTAATTTTTAGTGACCTTGGAGATTCTTGTTGATTGATTTTGAAAATCACTCTGTGTAAAAAAGCACATCTCAGATCATAATCATCATAAATGTTCGTATGAATGTGGGCGATTTTATAAGTTCGTTGAGAGAACACGACCAAAATTTTGAGGAATATATTTTTAAATTTTGCAGACTGCAGAAATACTCAAGGTAAAAGATTCGGTTACCAAAATGTTTCTAAACAGCTGTTCTATCTATCTAGATGTCGGCAAACAGTTCTCCAAGTATGCTCTGAGGATACGACGTTTAGTATTTTCTGTATGCATTAAATACAAATTAGCGCACAAGCTACAGCCATTCTGTCACCAATTGCAACGACTACGAACTAGCAAATAATATCAATGAAACCTTTATCAGTATTATGTCAACCTATGAACCGTTAACAAATTATGTGTGTCCCCAATTATGATGATGAGCCAACAAAAGTTACTGAAATGTTGGTAGCGAAATCATTACACGAATTAAAGGCCATGCACAACAACTACCAAACTGGGTATAAGACATACGCCGGTATATTAGCACCTGCTGTTACTGATACTATCAATTGCTTATTTAAAACCTGTAAATTAAGTCCCACATGCATGGAAGATGGCCGACGTACCTCCCATCCCTAAACAATCAAAGATCGCAGCTTTTAACAAAGATTCAAGGCCAATTTCACTAATTCAGTTGATCAAAACTTGCGAATTGCAAAATTACTCATGTACTGTCTATTACTGAAATTAAGCACAAAATTTCCATTAAAAAAAGCAAAATTAACAACACTGAGAAAAAAGAGAAAACTTATCACAAAAGTTAAAGCATAGAAACGAACAAGATGATCTCTTATTATCACTTATTACCATGCAAAGGAGAACTCCTGCACGAAAACCATAATTTTAGAAAGCTAAGAAGTTTAACATTCCTATCATCAATACGAACAGGTTATTTATATCTTTTATTCCTAATTATGCAAAAAACGCTAACTTTAAAAACCTTAGTATAATATTAATACATTATTAGTATACAACTAATGAATGTTTATGAGTGCAATGGTAAAAATATTTTCAGGAAGTGAAAGATGGAATATTCCATTCAACGAGGTGATAGCCGAGTGGAATGGAACCTTCCATCTTTAACCAAGTGAAGATATTTTTACCATTGCACGAATGAAAACATTCATTATTTGTTTTATATAATACCAAAATAGACTGTCTCGTTTCAAAAATATAATTTATTAAAAAACATACTGTATGGATCAACAACCATATGTGCGAGAAGCATTTTGATGGATGATATTTACTGAAAGCATTAAGAGTGCAATGGAACAAAATGTATAGTACAATTGCAATCTGGAGAGTGCAATGGAACGCTTTCCATTGCACTCTTGGGAAATGAGACTTTCTATTCAATATCACGTGATCGTCATCAACCAATTAAACGCTCTAAATTTAATGGGATATTACTTGTTGTAAATATAGTAATTATCTTAAATTCCCAGAATACCAGTATATTTTACCTTATATCCATGATTTTAATTTCTGTTGTAATTCGGTCTTAGGACTGTAAAAATTGATCGATTAAACAAACAAACAACAACAACAATTACTGAATTCGGTTTTCGCATGATATGAAGAATTATAAAGCAGAAGCTAAAAAACCTTTTTACCGAGACCTCAAAAAATTATGTTTTGTAGACCCTTGACCGTCGATACTTTACTCTGCTTTGTCTCTACCAAAGTCGGATCCACAAAACATAATGGATGTTTCCTTCGGTCGCGGTAAAAAAGTGTTATCTAAATATATTTTACTGAGTGATGAGAGTGGAAATTTTACATTCTCTCTCAGGTACTTCGTTCCAACGTAACTAGTCTTGCTATAGAATAACTTTTCGATTTGATGCGTGATTATTGTGGAACGTGCATATGTCCGGTTCATCAAAAAATTTTATTTTCACTTATTTTCTTAGATATATGCCGCGGCGGACGCACAACTAGGAACGATCACACTCGCAAAAGAGCGATTGATATGCGAGATGATGATATAGACGATCAAGATATTATTCCGCCGTACGACCCGCCTAAACGTAATTTCACAGTTCCCTCATGGCCGACACCTAGTGGATTGACAGAGAAGAGCGTAACATCCTTATGCAACAAAAAAATAAGGTATTCGAAAGCCGGAGAAAGCTGTAGTAATGTCAATGGTGTTAACTTGGATAGCCTTGTCAATCAGTGCATTACTGATATCCAGGTATGTAAAAGATGCATCTAAATTCAAATTTGCATTACTAAAATGTTACCTTTCGGTATCAGAAAATTGCTTATTTACACCAGTTAGCTTTAACATAACAAAATGCAGCAATAATTTTAAAGTTTATCATCGAAAACTTCCATACGATGCAGGAATACAGTGGTGCCTGTATTAGTTATTTTTTTGGAAATATTTTGCAGATCCTATTGGTTGAGGTTCATTGGCCTATTTTTTCAAGCAATAAGATCATGTGAAATTTTTTTAAAAAAGGAATACAGGGACCATTGTCATCCCGCATCGTACGAAAAGTTTTTGATCAAAAACTATAAAAATATTGCCGTATTTTGCCATGTTAGAAGCTGTTTTAATCTAAACTTGTTTGCAAGAAATTAGCAAAATTATCAGAGATTAGTTTTTTGGTTTTAGTCAATATAATTGAGGTATTTTTACATCGTCTAAGAGGTAAGTTTCCTAACGTAAAAAAAAATTATTAACCTTAATATGTAATTAGATATAATTATATATTATTATCATATACACAATGTTAACATGTACAATTTGCTAAAAAAATTTCTCGCATTCAAATTATCACGAATATTTAGGCTGCGCGCCTATGCTTCTATCTGCAAAATTTCGCCCACAAAATACAGGAAGATGCATCTGCGTGCCTCATTATAGGTTGACCAGCTTGCAAATACAATCTTTATTATTTCTACATAGTTTACTGACGATCCATCATGGGCTGGTGCGAATGCTGGAGCTTTAAACACCGTGTGCAAGAAAAATGTTTATAAGAACATATCCTACTATAAGAACAGCACAGATGGCGTGTTGAAACTGGAGACGAATGTTCTGGATTCACTTTGTCCAAATGATTGCTCGGACCGTGGGAATTGTTCGAACTCAACATGCACTTGTTTTGAAGACTACACAGCTGCTGATTGCTCAGTATCGTTGAAAGATAGTCCCAAACTATATGGCATACGTAAATCGGGAATATGTGATGTAAGAAGAAGGCCGTGTCGCAATGTTGGTATTTATGCTTTCCCCTTGTTGGATTCCGAGAATCTTACCTGCCATGTTCAAGAAATTAAGGTAGGATGGTTAAGACGTCGGTGTACTAGATAATAGGTCAATAGATGAGCATCTAAAATATGCGTTCTCCCCCTAAACCTAAAGTTTACTCCTTTATAATTTGCCAGGCCCTTAAGAGAAAAATTGCACGAATTGCACTCCCAAAAGTTTGTTTGCCATATGGATTTTGATAGCCGCCATTATTTTTTGGATATCAACTACCCTGCGCTAATAGAAAAAAACTGCTATGTCTGAGAGAAAGGATCGAGAATTTATGTTTTATTCATTTACATGTATAAAATTTTGCGTGCTTTTACAATAAACATTTTCGGTAATTACATCACATTTTATCGTTTTAAATTTAGAATCACCTTAAACTGTCCAGAAATAACCTGGACAAAAACCGCGGTTAACCTAGGTCGGGCCGAGGTCGAACCGCGGTGAGACCGAAGTTGAACCTCGGTCGTTTTCCATTTGATGTTTTCGATTTGATTATTGTGTTGTCGCTCTCAGCAGTTCGTATCATTCCGTTCGGAAGCGAACGGCAACGGCGATCGTATTTTTCCCTTGCAGTCTTTGCGGTTTCTATCGGTCGACCGCAATCGAATCGTGACTGCAGTGTTAGGTTATTTCTGGACAGCACTGTATGTGCTTCAAGCATTGGCGTCAATCTGACGAGGGGGACCATACCCATATAATTATTCTGTTATGCCTTGCTAATTTCTTTTGAAAAAAACTGACTTTCAATAGAAATCAGCCTGGCATAATTTACAGAATATATGAATATGCCCCCCCAATTAACGTTCGATTGACGCCGATTGCTTCAAGGCATGCATGAAAAAGATTTTAAAATCTTTTTTACAGATAAATGCCAGACCTAGAGCATCGTTCTGGTGTTATGGCTATTTCCACACTTTATTTGTGAAAATAAAAAAATGTTTCTCCTTCATGCGGGAAGAAGGATGTTTTGCAGCTTCGCACATAGCTTGCCGAAGTAAAGCTTGAAATTCATCTCATTTAAGGTGGTTCTGGATTTAAAATTGAAAGCAATAATCAAAATAAGGCTTTGTCAGGGCATTAGAAATCATCTTCAAGGTTTTGTGAGAAACGAACAGGGTTATTCGTTTCATGACAGCTATTTAGATTTCTTACATATCTTTTCAATGTGTTATACCCCGACTCATTCTTTCATCAAGGAGTACTCCTAGGCACCGGGGAATTGATTTCCCAGTTTAACACAAAGCGATAATCATATATCTTGTTTTTAACTTTACTTCGAGTCTTGGCAGGATGTTCTAGTTTATTATTAGCGAGATTTATGTCATCATTTAGTATATAAACAAGTTCACTATAATCACCAGAAGCAAATGTCTGGCTATCATCGGCATAAAGACAGGAAGTTGTAATTCAAAAGCTCTCTGATAAGTCGTTTATATGATAAAGTCAATTTCGAACGATAACAAATTCTTCCAATTAATGTTGAATAATTTCACCCTGAATTAATGTGGTAGTAATTTAGCTCCCTATATTATTAATAATGTAATTGTTGTTGCCATAGGTTATTGAATCAGTATGGGACCCAGATAGATCTATCACGTTGTTTCCTGGATTGATGATGGATATAACCGAAGTTAAATGTTTTCTTCCCGAATCACCTGTAAATATCGGTGACTATGGTAACGAAGGAGTGGCAGCCGCTGGAATAGAAATTGCAGTTTCCAATAATCGGATAAACGCATCGAAAGAGTCCTTGTTGTTCATTACGTATGACTCCGTGTGCCAAGAATGCAATGTTTCCACAGGATGCCGACTTAAGGTAAAACACGATTTATATAATCACAAGAAATCTGCGACATGATATTCTAATTTTAATTTCACCCACCACCATGCATACCTTTACTATAAAGTTACAACGTTTACTATAAAAGTACCCAAATAACGCCTACCTTATGTAATGATATGTTATTACACCATGTTGACAAATTAATGAAACATTTCTTATGTCGTCATCAAATTATCGCATATATTTGAATGCCTTTTATCTGCGAAATTTGACCGAGAAAATACAGGAAAACGCATCCGCGGCACTCATTATAAGTTGACCAGCCTGCAAATAAAACCTTAATTAATTTTTATACACTTTACTGACAATACATCGTGGGCTCTTGCAAATGCTGGAGCTGTAAACACCGTGTGCAACGACGTGAGATTAAAATTGCTACTAGCTTGAGGAAACCAGTATTAATTTGTTTTACACACGTCTCGGACTTTTTTTTATCAAAAAGAGTCTATAATTTCCATAGCTGTTGGAAAACTGTGGTGTCGTAGATTTGGTGCATCTTAAACTCACTAATGTCTCCCTAATCAATCATGAGTATTTTTTCTCAATTAACACCTTCGTCCCATCACTTACGCGATTGGATGGTTAGGTGTTAGCTCTGTCGTTCGCGGGAGGGGTGGCTTGGAACGAGTACTGTGACTTGGAGCCAGGTTGAGATCCCTACGGTATCTTAAGCTGAACACGCAAAAGTGATGTGAAACATTACCCCTCCAAGTAAGCACCCCTGACTGAGCCCTCTTAAGGGGCGAGGCTGCAAGAACGGTGAATCTATCACGATTGTGCCGACTATAAAGCGGACGTTGTTACCAGCCGACATGGTAGCACAACCTTAAACCAAAGACGCTGCAACTTCTCACCAAACTGCATGGTAAGACAACGCTTGTGCACTGTATCGACCTTGACGTTGTTCGCAGCTTCCACAACGAAACCGAACCAACCTTGGCGCCAAATCCCCTTGCCACACTCTGTGGTGAGAACACGCCTCGTCGAAAAGACCCAGGACATTGTTACCAGCTGAGGTGGTTGCACAACGTGTATAAACACGGTAGCGCACCTGTGGGGTCGCATTCCTTTCCTCGGCTAGATGGTAAAGCGACAATTGTACGACTCGTGCAAGGACGTTGTTGTCAGCTGAAATGGCAGCACAACGTTCATCTTCGCCCATCCCTAGGGCTTACCCTTACTGCCCGCCCCTATGCTGCAACTGAACATGGATCGACAAGATGGCAGACCAGACGACTGACACAAAGCCAGAAACCCAAATTCTTTTTTTGCGATTGACAACCAAACTTATATACACTGCTTTTGGGGTTTGTCTGTTCTTTTTTTTGGGGGGGGAGGGTTTGGGGATTTGGATTTTTGGGTCTACGAAACGAGACCAGCTGCTACGGTGTCAATTACCCTTAGCGGAGTGTCGCTTAGCCACCTGCCAATCGTCATAATCACATGGTCCGAAACATCGAGCTGCTGTAGTTGCAGCACCAATGCGGAAGCGGTGGCCGAAAACTTACCCTCAAACCAAACAAACCAAAGCGCGCGACAAATGGGCTCTAGGATCGTAGGTACCGGTCGCTGTAAATTCTCCCAAGTGCAGAAAACCGAAGAACCCGGTGCAACACGCCCCACAGAACAAGCCATCCAAATAGCTGCGCAAGTCAAATAGCGAGTATACCTGACGATCGAAGAATGGAGGCTGTTATCGGTAAACGCGCCCGTCAGGCGAGACCTTGAGTATGTTTTATCCCGCAAAGGACCTGTCCCAACCAGAGGCAATTGGAGAGAGGATTCCCAAAGTCGTTTTCGATTAAACTCATAATTTCGATTAAACTCCGGAATCTAGCTGAATACCCAGAAAAGTCAAGCACGTGGTTGGCCGCTTCCACTTATCAGGGGCCAGAGGCACACCTAGTGCCCGCGCGGCTTCCTGAATGGCGCGAATCGAATCTTTACAAGTTGATATCCCTGTCGGACCGAGGGTAAAGTAATCGTCAAGGTAGTGGAGCAAATCTGCCACACCGTATTAGTGTTGCAAAATCCACTCAAAGAGCTCAGCTAGCGGTTAAAAAATCCACTCAAGAGCGCTCAGCTCCCGGGTGCGGACCGAAGGCCAAAAAGTGAAGCTAAATCAACGAAATATTTATTGCGCCATCGCATTCCCAAGAAATGCCGGTCGTCAGAATTAATAGGTACAATACGGTACGCCTTCGCGCACCTCTGCCGGTTTTAATTATGAACCGAATAGCGTCCCGAACTGTACTATAACTGACAGGAAAATCGGATTTTGATATGCCATCATTGACACTGTGATCAAGCGGGAATGATAAATCTAATATTATATGCATGAGTCCGGTCTATTTTTCTGGGGAATCACTCCAAACCGACTGTCATGCAAATTAGGCTACAGTGGCACGTCAAAAGGTCCGACCATGCGATGAGCCTAAATTTCGCCCATGAGGTACTTGTCAATCACATCGGGGTGTGCCAGTGCTGACGACCAGTTGTCCTCCGCTGAACGAATCGTGCATGCTCTGAATTAAAACCAATCCGAAAACCGTCTTGAATTCCATTAACAACGTAACTAACTTTAACTCGATCCGTGTGGGCGGTTAAAAGCGTGTAAAAAGGGTAAATTTTTAGTGGGAAGTTATTAAGCACCGCTGTGGTCATGCAAATAATTTTTCATCTGGCCGCTATTCACCAAAAAGTTACACAACACAATATTGCCAAGCCAGGGGTTGGATTGTTTATCTAGAGATGGCTCCACGAGATTCCTTGGGCCGACGTTGGGGGATCGGTTTCGCTATGAGGACACATGGCGCTGGTGCTCGAGCAACCGGTGATAGCCCTGGCAGTCTGGGAACGAACAGATGTGGCGGAAGCGCCATATCTGTTGATTGCTTTTGCAAAACCCGGCGTTCCACGAGGGACAGAGCAGCCGACCGGCGGAGCTTCCCCGGGGTTTTTCGCGAAAGCTACTTTTACCTACCGTATTAGGAGGCGTATCTTTTTTAACCAGGTCCAGCTGTCGTTCATTAGTCACCGCCGTATGGTAATGATAGAAGTCGGGCCTAATCATGCTCCAATCGCCAAATTTTCTAGCCGGCGCTTCTCAACGATACGCGCGATCGTAATGAAACCAGCCCATTCCACCGAGCCGTTTCGACATACGAATTATTAGCATGTACGCCAACAGGTCGCGAGCGCGCGTGGGGGAAAAGCTCGTGAGGACGGCCATGTAACTATTAAAACACTCCACTCCATAATAATTTCTCAGATATCCCGTTTTTTCCCTTGTTGCGGTTTAGTAACAATTTGGGCCCCTACTATAGAAAAGGAATGGCAACTTGTTAGGCGGTTTCTCTAGATCCTCTAGATTGGAATCAGCTCTGATAAATCAATAAATACGTGCGACACAATCTTTTTCACCAGCTTGGCCGGGATTGGCCAGGACCGAAGACAAAGGCGCTTGCAGAGCTAGAGTTCTACTACGCCCCGACCACGTTAGGCTGATTTAAATGTTCGATCATTTGGTAAACGCAACGTAACATTTTGGTTAACCGTTTTCTACTAGCCCTAATTTTCGCGCAAGGCGACATTTTACTTTTGTTTCAAAGCTCTCAACTGCAACCATCTGGAACAAATTGCTCAAATACAAGGGAAATATAAAATCGTTTCACGCGAAAAGTATCGCTAATGAAAAACCAGCTTGACTTCCCTCGTTTCCTACCTCTGCCGCCGGACTATTGACTGGACCCGTATTTTTTTGTTGATACAGCTAATTCAAAAAAAGGTTTTCTTTCAAAAACCTAAAACTCTAAGCGCTCAAAGAATAATGGGAATTTGCATAAAATGATTATAAATTTTTCAGTGTTAGCTACAAGAGTGCAGATCAAACTTTTTAAATGCGGAACTGAAATTGAAATACATCAAGATATTTCAGCAATTTTTCATTGAAACCACCCAGGAATTAACAGACTTTTATGCCGGATCTATCGCATTAAATAATTTATTCTTTTTGTAGTATCAAAGAGCAGTTATTTAGCTTTCTAAATGATATCTTTTATATTTCGAATGTTTTCAAAATAAAATAATAGCAATCAAAATCAAACTTGCCCAGTTGAATAAGTTGAATGCAAACGGCGCCAATTGGAGTTTATTATGAGCCTAACGATAACAAATGAATGATAATCTTCATTCCATTTCCAACGGTGCATGGAATAGAATTGCTTTCCACAGAGAATTTTTGAAACACGATTATTAAATTGTTTTTTAAGTTAAATCATGGTTAAATGACATAGAATAAATATTTAGCCAGAAAGCTAAACATATATTAATTTCTCTAGCTGTGTAAAGATGAACTCGCTAGTCGTGATATATAGCGCGTAATTACTACATATTAAAAGGTGGTCGATTGTTTTAAGAAAGTGTGCATGTAAATGAACGCTATATCTTCAGCATGTGTATAACAATCTTTGAACTGACAATTTAGAAAGCTCATTCGCGTAATATAGTGATTTGCTTTCAGTATGTATTTCCAAATACAAGTTCCCTGGTTTAAAGTTCCTCAGAAAATGACTTGCTAGAAAATTGTAAAACCTGGCACTAAGTATAGAGTTGCATTGTATATAAATATTTTAATTTTTTGCGAAACCATAAGCTTACAACCAAAATAATTACAGTGAGATCTAAATTACTTATACTAGACAATATTATAACAATAATTTTTTTTAACTAAAAGGCTGATGCTTGTTCAATTTCTGGTCATTGTTTCGCCAAAAATGACAGCCATCCTGACGACTGGTGTCGACAATGTTTGCCTAACATTTCAACTTCGTCATGGGAAAACCGAACAGGTAAGCCAATGTAAAGATATAAAAATGCATTAATGTGATCCTGTAATTTACATAAAGGAAATCGTTATTTGAATTATTCTTTTAAAAGGAAGAGACAAAATATACCGAATGAATCGATTCATAAGTCCCGTTTACACTACACTTAATTTATTGGCACGGCATGGCTAAAATTGGTACCCGTACTAATTTTATTTGGGAGGTTAAGATCGGCTTCCGCTACGAGTACCAATACCAATATTCAGTCACGCGCATGCGCAGACGTAACAATCGTCCAAAATGTGATAACACCGGAAGTCGCGAGTACCGTTTTGGAGCTGAAAATGGAAGTGAATACGTAGGCGAAGTACCAAATTATATTTACTGTATTATTGTCATTTTCTGCAGTTGTTTTCTAATATTTTATTTAGTTTTTAGTTGTATAATGTTTCTGCTTTGTTTGTTGAGATTTTAAGGATTGTGATTAGATTTTTTTATGTGAATACAACCGCTATACTTCGCCATGTTTATTTACTTCTTACGGAAGTCACAATCTCAACGCTTTAAAATTTCCGCACTGCCAAACTGTAATACGTCATGTATTTTCGTATCGGTACTAGTAGTGGAAGTAGATCTTAACCTCCCTATTAGTATTCAGGCTACCAAAACAAAGGCCGAGCATAAATGAAATAAGCACGGGTACACATTTTAGTCGTGCTGTGCCCATAAATCGAGTGCAGTGTAAACGGGCTGATAGTTACTCATGAAATTACATGTCAGAGGAACAATGGAGTTCAATATGACTGGCGTCTTACGTTCTCTATCAAACATTAAATGCTAAGTTATTTTTAGGGTGGTTTTCAAAATACAATAGACAAAATAGACAAAAACACTTCTTGACGTCTCGACCTGAGGGCCTTCGTCACGAGAGTTAGTTTGAAAATAAATAAGGGAGAGCACATGTTTTTTATGAGGGTAAAACAGGTGATAAAATTGGCCTAATAGAAAATAAAAAATCAAAACAAATTGGAAAACATTATGTTGCCAAAGGGACGCCTGATTGTGGGCTAAGAATTTCCCGCAATGAGGGAATCCTGATCAGCAACGAAAATAAATTAGCTTAAATTAGCAACAAGCTTTGGTGTAAACACAGAAGTGGGAATCATATTACTCTGGGCGAAGTAGCTTAAATGAAAAAGAGTCTTTCATTTATTTTGCCAGAGGGATGAAGATTGACAAGACTGTGGATGAGTCGCATTTCTTGTCGTTTGCGGCTATCGTTAGGACCGGAGATGTAGGGACCGCGGAGCCTGTTTAAATGTGGGGGGCTCGGGATAACCCGAGAACATACCCTACGTGGGATGTAGGTGGGAATGGTAATTTTTCATGTCTGTCTATGAGAAAAGGGGGGGGGGTCCTGCCCCCTCCTCCTCTGCTCTGCCGTCCTTTAAATGGCACTGAGGGTTCTAATAATAACTTCCAAGACACAATGATTACCAGAGGTAAAGTGTCAGGCAACAGGCTTGGTTATATCGTGGTTGTTAACCGACCTACGGTGTTCACCAAACCTTACCCTTAGAGATCTTCCAGTTTCACCGATATAAAGTAAACCACATTTGTTGCATGAGATGAAATAAATAAGGTTGGAGAAGTGGCATGTGAAATGGTGCCTGATGAAAAACTGTGAAAAACTGGGAGCCGAAATAACAGTTCCTGGATCAGTTAATGAGCATGTTTTACATTGCCTAATGCCAGAGGGGAATGTGCCATTGGGCATTGAATGGCGAAGACGAACGAAATGCGAGAAAGGGATAGACCTGTTAGTGTGGCTGGTGTGGAAGAGTTAGCTATGGGAGTCATTGGGCTTGTTGAACACCGAGATAGCGAGTCTATTGCCATTGATGGAACCAGGATATCTAAGAACAATACACTGGTCTGACGGATCTTAGATGTGAATTGGAGTGCTGGATGAAATTCATTAACAAATTTAATTAATCTCTCCAACTCAGCACGAGAACATGATGCTGTACCAGGGCAATCATCAATGTAACTTCCCAGGTAATCGAGGAGGGCATGTGTACTGTTCAAAGTTGTTTTTTTCCACAAAACCAACAAACAAGTTAGCTTAATTGGGACCTATTTTAGTTCCCATTGCTACACTACCTATCTGTTCGTGATGCTCAGTTGTCGACGGTTCCTGAGTAGGGAGGTTTTGTCTAAAAAGAATTTGAGGACCTTCAAACCATCCTGGTGGGGGATGACAGTGTATAAGGATTTGACATCCATTGTGTAAATGAATTTGTGGGATGATTGAAAATGGGATCAATTGTCTTTCGGCTTGCCCTGTTGTTTTACAGCAGAACATAATGCAATTCATTCGGTCGTGGAATTCTAGGTTTTATTCCCAGCGAATAAAGTCTCGAAAGTCGAAACTCAACCCTTTGTTAGGCTCCCGTCCCTTTTCGACTACTAATCACATAGTCCTGTTGATCTCACCAATTTGGTAGTCAGGATTCCTTCCGATTTTTCCCTCTCTGATTCTGATAGATCTTTCCTTGCAAAAGGTGTCAAATTTGTTCCCATCCTCGGTTCCCATGTCTTTTATCTAGTAATCTTAAAAAAATTTTCCTAGTCTCCCCCACAAGCTGTATCTTCTCATTAGACAATGTCGACATGAAATAGATCAACTTCTCAAATTTAGGCCCAAAAGGCCATTGAACCTTACCCCTTTAGAATTTGAAGTTCTCAAATCTCTTCGTGGTCGCACTGACATCAAATCTGCTGAAAAGGGTCATGAATCAACGTCGAGAAGTATTTCTGTCTATTTTAGACAGTTTTTGTACCACATTTGATGCTAAGAAGTGCGGCGATTTTATAGCACATCTTGGCCTGCAGTATAACACACTATAGTGTGTTACTCGAAAATAATTAATAATGAGAACAATAATATTTAAATACCATTACAGGTGTTTTCAGTATTTACTGATTGAATTGTGCAGATTGCCAAATATTTTACTGTCATTATTTTTTAAAGCGGGCTGATTTTTTTGGCTGGCAGTTAGGTGTACTATTTTGAACAACCTTAAGGGGTGTTGTTAGCTAATTTAACTAAAATCTTGTTATTGAATTAGCATATTTAAGAATCAAATGTTCCTCAAAATGTTGCTGTTTTTTTTCATTGCAACCAGAAACGAATTTAAGGCGCATATTCATAACTGCCTGTCAAAAATTGTCTGACCCATGCCTAAGGTCATCATTGTCATATCCTTAATTGTCCGAAATGGCGGACAAGTTATTCCTTTCGATCGAAAAATTACAAGAACCAAGCAAACTTTTGAGAATTTGTCACCTAATTTTAGAAATATCTTTGCTATATTAGAAGCGTTGTTTGAAAAATAAAAAAAAAATCAATTTCTTTTTTTTAAAGTAAAGAGCGAAAAGTACAGTTAACTAAAAATAAGGAGGTCTGTTGGATGAAAATCTTCTGAATATATATTGCGATACGCAATTTAAACATAAAAGGAAATTTAGAAACTTTCAAAATACTTTATATTTAAACGGTTGTAATGCGCCTTGCGCTTTATGTATTGAGAATTTGAGTAAAATTTGTATAATTTCCTTTTAGATCCAAAGTTTAATATTTCAAAAACCTTTTACGCTTTTCTTGGTAAAGAACTCCGCGTGCAACTCGATGCTATAGATCCAGAGAATAGAACAATCCGTTATTCTTTTGCCCAAAATACTTCTCTTGGCGCATCGTTGACAGAAAATGGATTTTTTTCGTGGACAACCACAACGAATGACTCAGAAGTATTTATGTTCAAAGTAACAGATGAATGTGGTGCGGACTCATCTGTTAATGCATCAGTTGCTATAAAAGATTGTCCGTGCCAAAACAAAGGAGAGTGTTTCCCTGACTATCGTTATCTTGATGGAGCAGGAAGCTTCACGTGTTCATGCCCTGTTGAATATACTGGTGTGCTGTGCGAGAATGATGTCAATGAATGTAGTGTATCTGAACCTTGCTTCAATGGAACTTGCAACAATGAAATACCCGGGTTCTCCTGTTCCTGCTTTGCTGGATATACTGGTCATTTTTGTCAAGCTGAGGTTGTAATTTTTATTTTTAAACATAGCTTCGGACTACTTAAATTATTACGATCGAACGACAGAAATTAATCATGTATATAATTACCCTTTTTCCACTTCAAAATACATTATAATGACATTCTGATTAGCTAAAATCGAACTGAGTCATGTACGTGCATGGTGTTAATGATTTTGTCTGTGTAGTCAATTCTATTCACTTGTGTCATTATAGCTTATGAATTATACCACACAGCGTTCCCCACAGTTCTCGTGGCGCTCGGGCGTGTACACTAGTCTACTTGATCTATTGTCACAGAATAGCCATATTATACAGTGTATATAATTATTTTCTATTTTGTGCTATTCCAACAATCTACTATAATGTCTATTATGTGCTATTATTATGATAATTAAGGGTTGGTAAGCATTGTACTGCAACGTTTGCTAAGGCCTGAATATCTTGAAAATAAAAAATAATCGCATCGTTTTAAACGCCGGTAGTTTGACTACATTCTCCGGACGTTTTAACTTTAAACGTTAATTTTAAGGTTTATTTTAGCATGCTAGCCATAGTGTCTATCGGTTTAAATTGTTATTATCAACTCTTCGTGAACAATTGTAAAATAGTTTTGCCACCCAGCGCAATCTCCTTCTTGCACGAACACCGGCCTATTATTTGATCTTTGCATTTTGAAGCCTGATAAATAATTATTTTTTCCACGTTTTTATTATTTTTAAGATCGACGAATGTGCCTATCAACCTTGTTTTCCTGGAGTTCTTTGTACAGATCTAATTGCCTCATTTAGTTGTGGACCTTGTCACAAGGGATATACTGGTAATGGAAAAATCTGTACCAGAATTGATGGCAGTAAGTGTAATATGTCTCTTTTCATCAAGGGAATATCGTGATGGACTAACCTTAACCGTACGATAGCTATCGATGAATATTTCCTTTTTTATTTTGAAAAATTTTCTAGACAAACGCAATCGTGGAAACTAGATGATTTTTGTAATAATATGCATAAACTAATTTCTGAATTCTGATTGGTTCAGAGCCGCGCAATATTCAGGAAATCCCTGTCCCAAAAAAGGAAATCCAAGTGCTAATTTCCTTAACACAATTTCTTTAAAAGTGTTCCTGAGTGTTCCTCAGTGAATTCAGTGTTGCGTCTTTATTAAATATCTCATGGTAAAAACGTTGAAACGGTTGACTATTTTGAAAACTATTTTGACAAGATTCGAAAACAACATGCGATTGCACATGAATTTTGCTAATTGAATAAATGATTTAATATCATATAATGTGGCACGTGTCTCTTATTTTTTAGGTTTATCAGTAATAGGTAATAGCATAGATTCTCGTGCAATTTGGAAAACCATGCCCTCGTGAGTGTTTTCAAAGACTTCAAATTGCACGAGTCCAAAAAAATCACCGCTGCATTTTTTTTTCAAATTTCACTAGAAACCATACAATTACTTATGCAAACGATAACAAACTAGGTTTTAATGCTCGAACGACGGAATTATTTATATTTAGCGGTTCTAAATATTTTTAGCTTGGAACTGAACCTCGAATAAATATTACTTTTCCAGTATTAAACGTCTTACAAGCTTTAAATAGAAAACTTCACCGAGATCTATCTAAAATACACATGTTTGTTTTATCATGGCGTTATATATATAGTAACAGAATTATACGATCACTGATAGGTATAGATATCGTGGGATTTTTCTCAGCACTGGTATTGTTTGACACAATTTTTTACAAGTGCAGCCGTATATTCGTTAAAGTGAAGTAAGTGTCTCATAAAGGGACTCATTAAGTGCACTTGGTCAACCGCCTAGTGCCTTGAATTGTAAAAGGTATACAGTTTAAAGGATAAGTTTTCTAGTTTCCCGTTTAGACGTTCACCGGTGTCAAGCGTTTCAGTTGCCTCTGTCAAGTTTTTAAGAAAAATTAACATGCAACGAGTTCATGCTGTATCCAAATATCCTAACTAGCCTATATTTTGTGCGTGCGCCGCCCAAGATTAACTGTATAAATTTGTCGTGATATAGGCTAAAGATGTTTCGCGGCATTTATCACCATTCTCTTACTTCGTACTGCGGATTGTATATTTCCGTGATTTAACGACGTTTTTTTAAAACTTTCAGAAGTTGACGAATGTGTTAGGAATCCTGAGGTATGTCATAAAAATGCAAGCTGTGAGTACAATAACGGTTCTTACACCTGTCAGTGTATACATGGTTACTCAGGAGATGGCAAGAACAATTGCACAGGTAATATACTATCACTGTTATTACAGAAAGGGTTGTGGACGGTGGGGGTCGATTGCATCACGCAGGTCGACTAGGCTAAGCAATTTCTAGGCTAAGAGACTGTTTACATGAGCCCAGTTACCCGAGATTCAATGAAGCGTGAGATGATTTTGCGGTATTGAAATGAGCAGATAATGATGATCCTGGCAGTCGTATATATAATCACCAGAAAAATAGCATGTGCTTGTTTGGTGTCATAAAGACTTATTTCAATACCCCAAAGTCCTCTCACGCCTCGTTGAATCTCGGGTAACCGGGCTCATGTAAACAGCCCCTATATAAGCTATCTCTTCGCGAGTTGACTATAGGCTAGCTGCAACCGGGATCCTGCAGCAAGACGAGACAACTCCCTTCCCGTAATCAAAATGTTAATATTTTTATAAGCAATATATTTAGCCAGCGCGCGCGTGGCACGGGCTAACTCCGCCGGGACACGAATCACACTCACTCTATTTATAAATTACCCTGTCAGGTGTCCTTTTTAAAAACTGTCCCGCGGGCAAATGTCGCATAAAATCCGACTTTTCAACTCGTCCGGGTCAACTCGCCTCATGTATAATCGGCCCCTAAATTATTGGATGATAATTTCCTTTAAATTTTGGAGAAAAAGCTGTCACTTTTCGATGCGTTATATGTGAAAGGGAAAAATGTCTGAACAATGGAATAGCATATATAAACACTTGTGGCAATAGGCGTCATAATTATTATCCACAATACAGATATATAATGGCAACTAATGTACATGTGATCATTGTGATGAACTGTAAAATTCAAATGAGGTTTGATTGTGGACGTGCGTGCATGTTTCTTTCATAGATAAATACCAAAACTACATTATGGATATGAGAAACGCTTAGAAATATTTCGTACATTCAGCATTCTCAGCCTGCCCAAGTGGGAAATGTGTTTTCTAACATTTATTTGATCAATAAAGTTAAAGAGGAAAATGCTGATTATTATGTGACCTAAGCTTACAAATGTTGAAAACATTTTAATGGTTACGACATATTATACGTACGCGATATCCTGTGGTTATATGATGATGCAAATATCCAAAAGTGTATTTAAACGCAATTGTTTGCACGGTTTAGATGTGAATGAATGCGTAGAAACTCCTGACATTTGCCACAAAAATGCTACGTGCACAAATACTAAAGGAAATTATACTTGTGAATGTATGAAGGGGTTCATTGGCGATGGTTACATTGATTGTTCTGGTGAGTTTGTCAAGAAGCCATGCATGCCACTAAATGTATTACGTAGCGCCATATTGTAGGAATTTAAGCTTTTGACAAAGAATAAAAAATCTATTTAGACTATAACAAATGTACATGTTTCCATGGTACCTAGCTTCAGTGTCTAAGTATAAAAACAATGAAGTATTTCCTTTGTTTTCGGCTATGGTTGGGCCGTTGTCCGCCCGCGTTCTATACGAAAATTACGATAAGACCATGTAAATACATGTAAAATTCTGGAGCGTAGAACAACTATGATCACAAGTGTCCAAATCGTGCATGAATAACACATATATATTTGCGCCTCTTTCTCAACCTTCTTCAAAAGAAACTAGAAATGAACTTTGGTTTCTCATTCACTTGCAACATTTTTGTATGACACTTCCTGTAATGGTGCATTTTCTGTGGATTCCTCGATCGTTGGTATAATAGCGCAAATATCAATATATCGAGCAAATAAGTGATTACTCAATTATTCAATAAATATTAATCTTTAGATGTGAATGAATGCTTGGAAACTTCTGACATTTGCCACAAAAATGCTACTTGCACCAATATTGAAGGAAGTTATTCCTGTCAATGTTTGAAAGGATTTATTGGGGATGGTAGACATAATTGTTCTGGTGAGTTTCATAGCCAAAAATGCAGGTCGGTTAGGTGCGTGGGCTCAAGCGGTTCAGTTTTCAGTTCTTTATGCAGATCAGTGTTGCTCAAAGACAATATGGCGATTGTTTTAATCTTATCAACCAACCACACAATCTATAAACAAACAGAATTATAAAAATGAGTATATTAGATATTATTATAAAAGATGGCCCACTTATCGATGCTGGCGCGTCCACTTAGCTCGAACATTGCTGAACATTATTCAATATATAAGTTCTGCCTTGTATCATAAGACTGGAACGCTAGCTCCGTCGGAAGTTTGAAGCCAAGATGGCGGAAATTGAAGCTTTTTTGTAATATGATCCAGGCCTCCGGCGCGGAAACATCCTCAGCCTTGCCGATGAAATTACTCTTGACTTCTCATCCTCTTGCTATTCATTTCGTGTTGATACTGGCTATATAGCTAATGGTGTCTTTTCCGCCGATATATCCTGCTTTTTACGAGAGTATGGAAACATGTACTAAACGTTAACTCAATTGATTGCTAATATTCTTTAGATGTGAATGAATGCCTGGAAACTCCTGATATTTGCCATAAAAATGCTACCTGCACCAATATTGAAGGAAGTTATTCATGTCATTGTTTGGAAGGATTCATTGGGGATGGTAGACATAATTGCTCTGGTAGGTTTTCTGTTATAAGTTTTAGTACCATTTATTAATACTATTTAATATACAATCTTCGTGCATTGTCCTAAATCTACTCACACGATTGGTTAAAATCAATCACGTGGTTCCTTGTTGCCTCGCGACAGATCATGAGAATCATAATTTAATCGCAACCTATTTTCCCTTTTATTGAGCACATAGTTTGCTTATTTTTGCCTCAGTATCTCTTATATTTCGTAAAGTGGCGTAGCCAGCCCGACAATTTAGTGATGCTATGTTAATATTTTGGTATTCATTGACTGTGAAAACAATGAATTTCTAAAGAGATGAATAATAATAATAACATCAAATTTGCATAGCAGGGCTAAATTGTCATGCAGGCTCGCTACGCCACTGATTTCGTACTAAGGTTTTCTGCAATGATCAGCCAGGCCGCCCTCGGCTTTCTTGTCAGAGGCTTTTATACACAGGGACGATGAAATCTTCATAAGGCGGTATCTTGTTTCCAACAACATTTCAAGGTGCAATTTTTCTCCAGCATAGCCGCGACAAAATCCACTTAAAATCGTTAATAAAGGACCTGTTTTTGATCAAACGGCCAGTGGTGCAGCCAGCCCGACAATTTAGTCATGCTATGCTAATATTTAGATGTTCATTTACTGTGAAGACAATGAATTTCTAATTAAATGAATAATGATAATAACATAAAATTTGCATAGCATGACTAAATTGTCAGACTAGCTACTAGCGTAGGGCATAAAGTTGGACAGGAAAGAATTGTGACACGGTGCCCTCGAAGGCGAGATTCTGTTGCTAGGCCACGGCTAATATTTTCCATTTACTTACATGGTTGTTAACTACTTTTTAGACGTTAATGAATGCGTAAAAATTCCAGATGTTTGCCATAAAAATGCAACATGTATCAATATTGAAGGAAATTACACATGTGAATGCCTGGCCGGTTTTGTTGGTGATGGTTACCATGATTGCTTCGGTGAGTTAGATAAGAATGGCATTGATCATCGATGAAGTTCGGATCGAAAGTTCTACGTTAAACTAATTCCGGTATTCACTATAGTTTTCTATTAATATATTTAACATTTACTTCACTAAATTTCCAGAATATTAAACTTTTTTCTTTAAAACATTTATAGAAAATAAATCTCCGCTTATAAATACTCCAAGTTCAGTCTATGCAATCTTGAATATGGACTTCAAAATTCAGATCGAAGCACGCGATCCCGAGGACGAGGATCTAGTTTTTGAGTTAATGTCAAACGGAACCGTAACCACGGCTGAAATCACAGAAAACGGTTTCCTTACAATACCGGAACTTAAAGAAAGTGGAAGTGTTTATATACTGGTTAAAGATAAAAAGGGTGCCCAGAATTTTCTAGTTCTCAATGTGAAAGCGATGCAATGTCCATGTGAACAAAATGGTACATGTCAGAAAAAGCAGAATATCACTTATCCAGTGCAAAGATCCGACTATATTTGCCACTGTGAGCAACCATTCACTGGTGAAAAATGTGAAAAACGCTCAAATCCTTGCAAAGAACAGCCCTGTTTTCCTGGACTCAAATGTTCATCCGCACTGAATTCTGAAGGATTTACGTGTGAAAAATGTCCACCATTATTTAAAGGCGATGGAAAATATTGTGAACTGGATAACGTAAAAGGTATGTTGTGGGCCGTGGAGTTGTGAGATTCATAGCATAGAAATGAACATAGGTAATATCATAATTTACCACCCTGAACTTTGTTCTTTTAATTCAAGAAGTGAACTGTTATCGAAATGCAGGCATAGAAACAAATTTCTCTTAAGCAATATAATTACTTGATATAATCTGTATATATTTATATGTAATTTAACACTAGAGCTTTCCGTTTACGTCAAACATGTATATAGTATATATAACCTTGGCAACAAAATAGCGCGACATTTAAATTCACCTGATGAGTGTGGCAAGCGTTACTTGTCATACGAAACAAGTTTGTAGTGAATAAAATCTTATGAAGTAAACCAAGTTTATTTTATTTTATCTTTATATATATAAATATATATATATATATATATATATATATACATATATATATATATATATACATTATATAATATATATAATATATATATATATTATAATATATAATATATTATATATATATATATATAAGAATTAGGCTATGATATATATATATAAGGAGAATTAGGCTATGATATAAGGTGAATTATGTGAAAATATTGAACACAATTTTTGTAACTGTTTGTGAAATAGATTTTACTCAAACCTCAAAATAGCAGATCTTTCTTGAATTCTGCTAATATAGACATTAAAAAGAACCACGTGAAGTCTCAGATGACATTGAAAAGTGAAAAATGGGTTGACAAATTAACTGACAATACATCCAAGGAGTACAGGGAACTTGCCTCTCGGATAACAATTGAGGTATGTAGAAGAAAGTTAAGTTATCTTATATACTGAAAACCCACTATTCGATGTCCTAAATTTCTTTAAAATAAAATAAAAATATAAATAATATATATATAATATATATATATATATATATAGATATATATATATATATTTATATATATATATATATATATATATATATATTATATATATATATATATATATATATATATACACCCATTTGCAAAAACGTTGGCCGCAGATAGATAGATAGATACTCGAAGTCTAATTAGAATTGCATATGATTACATTTGCATGGGATTTCAATCATATTACACAACATATGCAATTCTAATTAGATTTCGGGTATCTATCTATATATCTATCTGCGGCCAACGTTTTTGCAAACGGGTGTATATATATATATATATATATATATATATATATATATATATATATATATATATATATATATAGTAAAGAAGTAAAAAACACGGCTTAACCGCGCCTATCGCGCCTTGGCCGATCTATAGTTAATAATTAGAAAGTTAATCTCTAAATTTAAAATCCTCAAATTATTCTGAAATAGCTGCAGAAATACGAGTATTTTACCTGCCGAGGTTTATATGACTCTAACTTTTGAATCGTAAGTTATGAATTATAAATTTAGACGTTTAGATTTAAAGATTTAAAACATTTTAAATACTATTAAAACGCTTGAAACTAATTTTGATAATTTGTCTAGTTTAATTTGGTTTTAATTTTTTCCTCGTAAATTGATATCAAAATTTCCCGTCATATACTATCATGATTCATTTGAAGACGCTTTTTAGCAACCTCTCATATTTAACAGATCAGAACAATTTACAACAACGTTCAAGGGTTTAGTTACTTGATTGTCAAAAATTTCAGGTATGTCAAATATAATAATTAAATATAATCTTGCCTTTATTGCTGCCGAGCGTAGCGAGGCAGCACACTATTCTTGACACGGCAGAGATTTCTCCAGAGTTCATTCGACCCAGTCTTCCGCACCGAACTATGTATAGTCGAAATCTCGAGTCCTTTTTTTTTGCATTTTCCGGGCCAAAGGTCGATCATCAAGTCACTTTAAAAATTGGGGGGAGTGGACAAAATATTAGAGCCGTCGATACAGGACAAATGGGATATGCAGGGATATATAATTTTGTCTGCTTTTATACAGATACATATACATGAAGGCGATGCATGAACGTTCATTGTTCAATCTTAGAGGAGTCCTTTCATGTGTTAATCGGCTACATGGTACTGAAAGCAATGTTCTCATCTCAATCTAGAGCGGTGCTTTCATTAGTTTATCGGCTATAGCTTATATGGTTCTTATATGAAAAAAAATGAATATATTATAGCTCATATAAATGTTAATCTCGTTAGTCCATTATTGTTCAGCTCATCTAACTTTTACGGTAAACAAATAAAGTATGGACTGTGGGTATTCAATACTACATGCAGGGTGTCCCAAAAGACGCAAACAATAGCTTTGACGATTGTTAGAATTTGAATACCCAAGACAAACTACGAGCAGTGGCATGTTGAATTTTCACAGGCTACGTGCATAAGATCACAATAGGAAAATGAGCCATAGTAGTTTAGTCGAAATAGATTTCAAAATGTCGATCTTGCTAGTCGATTGTTGAGCTCATATGGCCTGTTTTATTATTTGTCGGATAAATGTATGTAAATTGTATTCTCTGTTGTGTTGTGATGTGCGTGATATGTCTAAAGTTAACTAATGTATTATAATGTTATGTGATGTGTAATGTTAACTAATGTCATGTGATGTCTCTTTGTTGATTTTATGTTTATTATATTGTTGTAAATAGTTTTATAATATAATATTTTATATATATTTTATAATTTTATAATAATTTTATAATTTTCGTGGAAACTAGAAAAATACCACGGTTATTATTGTGTTTTATACACCACTTACCTATATTGACATACGCCGTCGCTATGCCATGACTCATCGAAATATTAAATATTTAATTTGTCAAGTATTTAATATTTCTATGTCGCCATTGTACGTCACAACATTTAACCATGAAGTATACCCAGATTCCCAAACCTATGAGAACTCAGATTACTTTGCAATTTTACATGACGTTTTTGCGTCTTTCAGAGATCAATGCATAAGAATAATCTCACTTCACTGTGAATCTAGTCCTTGCTAACCAGGATGATATAAACAACTAATTCAGAAAATTCCGCATGCTGCTTTTAATCCTTGGCCTGACCGGGGATATTAAGGCAGCAATTTCCTTGCGATAGTAACTCCTAGTTTTAAATAAATATGAGGATTTTTGTTTATCGTGTTTACTTCATTAAAGCAGGTATGTCTACAGGAGTTCGGGTAACAGCATTAACTTCAATGCATTTCCGTTGTTTTACTACATTTCTACTTTACTTCGACAATTCTTTCACCATTATAGGCTATACTTTTTTGTATATTGTTTAGACAAAATTTGCACAAACTACCATGTAAAAAATGAAAACTTGCACCAGTTGGCCAAAACTTATGTTCCTGTAATTTTTTCTTTCGTACATTCCATTCCAGGAAGCGACGGTTTTGTTGTAATCATTTGTAATGTATATATCACACGAATGAGATTTAAATTTACCTCTTTACAATTAATCACAAAAAAAACTGAGCATTATGTGATAAAACCAGAAGCAAACCGTGCTTGTTACAGCCCCCGGACATGCACTTTAAAATACTTGCACCTAATTTTACGTTTTTTAATTACAGACCCGGGAGTATAATTGTAAATTTCGTGTTGATATTTTCCGAAGAAGTAAAGGCTCCTCTTAAACCATTGCTCAAGGTGGCAGAGACTGGAAAGCTCGGGAACATGACCTTCGAGATGAACGGTTAGAAATGAATTGCATGCTGCTACAATTGTACAAAATAATTACAAAACTAGCCTTATCAGCTAATGCAAAAAAATGGGAGATTTCAGCAGCTATACGCATTAACATATTAGTTTTATATTTAGAATATAATTATTTTCCTATATTCTGACACAGAATAGACATTAAATACCGGAAGCCTTACTCTTCGCATTTGGCGTCCGTAATTTTTTGAAAGTGTGACGCCACCTAAGGGAAGCCAAATACGCTAGCACACGCAAACATATAATGGGTATCTAATTTGTGTCCAGTGAGCTATATATAATATATAAATATACATATATATATATGGATTAGTAACTTCGCTCATTTGGTTAATCTTCAAGTGAAGCCAGAGATGATGGAAATTGAAGGAGCTATGGGAGGACACCCCAGTCTTCCTACGTGCACGGTCAAACTGAATTCATGGTTTTTTTTGCTATTTTCTAATATTTTTGAGTTGGAAATGGTAGAATTCAAAAAAAGAAAAGAATAGATATTTTTAAGTTTCACTTAAATCTGCTAAGAAAGGAGCAATATCTGAAGAGAAGTGAGTGTGGGTTGTTGACGTTCTTGCAAAAAGCAGAATACATTAAAAAAATACCAAAAAAGTGTTGCCTTATCTCAGTTTCAAGAGAAAAGATATGTATTAATCTATCTTCCATAAAAACAATAACTTGAAAGGAAATTATCCGAAACATACGAGATTCAAAATACAACTGAAAATATGGCATTTTTATACGAACGTTTCATGCAAAGTGAAAATATTTAAAAACCAACCCATACTAGGACAATTGGCAAAAATAAAGGACTATCAGTGTCTTAAAACTGTGTCAAAGTTACAAATTAAAAAACAAAATTTACTCGAAAGCCAAGGCAAAAGTTTCAAGCTTAGCGAAAAATTCATATTTACTCACACTGCAGTGGGAAAATACAGTATTCAGATAAGGTAGATGAAGAGAAACAGATTGCTATAAAAAAATAAACTCTTTTTCCGTTCTTATTCTTTTAAAATGAAGAAAACCACAAAAATCCGAGGTTTTCGCGAGCCATCACTCCCGGTCAAAACAATGAAAAAATATTTGATCTGACCGCGCACGTAGGAGGACTGGGATGTCCTGCAATAGCTCCTCAATTTCCGCCATCTTTGGCTTCACTTTTAGCAACCTAGTTATTACTCCATATATATATAGAACTTTTTTATGGGGGTACAGAGTTCCTGCACACACCAGAATGGCGTAGAATTGCGTAGAGTGAAGCGTGCGCTGCTGAATAATTTCGTACACGAAAACATTAGCAAAATGCAAAGAGTGATGCTTCTGGTACAATGGCCATTCTGTGCACGTGATTTTGACGTGGATCTCGATTTCAGCGATTTTTGTTTGACAAGATAATTTTTTGAGCACACGTACCATAGTACTGCGGTTTCATCCTATGCGAATGAGTATATAATTCTTCATAATTATTCTCATCAGCATAACCACGATATAAGATATATATATATATATATATATATATATATATATATATATATATATATATATATATATATATAATATATATATATATATATATATATATATATATATATTATATATATAATATATATATATACAGTAGGAGGCAAAAGTTTGAGTCCAGTCGTTGTAGAATTCCAGTATTAAATCCTGGCAGCGTATTGGAGTTAAGACATGCGTGCTAGTGTTTCAGTACTGTAAACTATATTAATTGCACACTGTTTTGGTCCTAATGATCTAAATTATAACAAAATAAAGTTCTCATTCCTTTACACTGCCCAAGATGGGTAGGAAAAAGGGCAAAGTGATGGTGCACAAGGACAAATAGTTCCATTAAGTATTGAAGGATTCTTTCCTCGTAAGATCGCAGAAGAAGTGAGAATTTAAAAAGGTGGTATGCAACTAACCTTGGAGAGGTTCGAAGAAATTAAATCCTACTCAAGCAAACTTTTAGCTGCTTTGGTCATGCTCGGTTTGGCAATATTGAAAGATATAATAGGATCCTAATTAAAGAAAAGTATCATCCAATTCTTCAAGGACATGGAATTTCATCTGGTACAAAGATGATCGCACGTCTAACTACATGATAATCACCCTAAGCACATGCACATCTTCTATGTGCCAGAAATCGTTTAGAAGCAAACTCATTCTGGTGATCTCGTTGTCATGGCTTTCCACCTCATATTCCAGATCTAAAACCTATGGAGCACTTGTAGAACCGTTTTAACCGGAAGAGGGCGAGGCACAGACCCGCCAGCCAGGCTGACTTGAGGCAAGTGGTCAACGAATGCTGGCAAGGTATTGAACGTGTGACATTAAAAAACCTATGGAATCTATGCGAGCAAGAATAAAGGTCATTTCAAGAGCAAAAAAGAGGGAACTAAGCAATGACATGTAAATGCATGTTTGCACATTAAAATACGTAAAAATGAATATCATAACATCTCATAGTTGTTGTACAGCATGTATTTTTCTGTTTACTTGTTTACTTTTTTCTAGTTCACTTATCGGTAAGGTTTTCTGTAGAATATTAATATATGCTGCTGAAACAAAGAAATACAGTCACTGGACTCAAACTTTTGCCTCCTACTGTATATATATATATATATATATATATATTTATATATATATATATATATATATATATATATATATATATATATATATATATAAGATTAAGTTTTTGACACGGAATATTGCCAATACTATTCTGCAGGTCTTCTTGAAGACTATCCAACAGATGACTGGGCCGGGGGAAGTTCACTGACAACATTTCACTTAAAATTTGTAATTCTAGTTAGAAACCTTTCTAATTCTAATTCTAGTGAATAATGAACATGATTCAGAGGACGACAAAAATGGCTCAATGAACAAAACGATTCACATTGCTGTGAGTGTCGCTGTTGTGGTTCTCCTTTTGCTCATTATACTTATTGTTGTGCTGCGTGTGAGAAGACAGAGAAAGCACAGGGAAGAGGAACTCGGGAAGAAACAAAAAGCTAAAATTACAAGAAGCAATCCGAAAGGAATTTCATACAAGGGAAAAGCTGGTGAAGAAATGGAAATGAAAGAGATGGAATCAAGGCTAGTTGCGTGGGAGGAGACTTAAGTATCGAACCCTAATTCGGCGTTTGAGATTCAACACCTGCTTTTTAAATGAGAGAAATTTAAATAACGGTATCATAATTGTTTTTCTGCACTATTTATAAACGCTTACAGTACTGTCCAGAAATAAATGAGTAATTCAGCTTGTGGTTACTGCTTTAGCATGTCCAGAAACAACCTAACAAAAACCGATGTTAACTTAGGTCGAAGCGCGGTGAGACCGATGTTGAACTTCAGTCGAACCTCGATCTGTAACATTCCGTTCGGAAGCGAACGGCAACCGCGATAATATTTCTTCCCTTGCGGTCGTCTGCGGTTTCTATCGGTCGACCTTAACCAAACCGCAGCCGAACCGCAACCACAGGTTATTTTTGGACAATACTGCATGTACATTCATCTATTCTGATATATCTATTCGCATAACTCATATACTTATTTCTTAAGAGTGATTGCGAACTGGGAATACGGGGATCTTATTAACACCATTTATATAATTCAATATATAAATAGATAAATTGATATTATAGCACTGCACTTAATGACGCTATATAATTAAACAAGTTACTGCATTGAACTGTTTTTCTACAAAAAGGGTTAAGTTAGCAGTAATCGGTTCTTTTTGCAGTAATTTTCTTAAATAGACATCATTATGAAAAGAATGTCTCTACATTGCACTTGATTCTGCCATATTTGTCTTAAAATAATGATATATAACATTAACAAACAACACAACTACTTTTACAGTTTCTTTTGTTTTTATTGTTTCATTAAGAATGTGAATAATTCTTTATCTAGCATTTTTTTTCAGCAACAAATTCAATTTTCTATCCAAATGACCTCACGATACATGCACTTATGCGTGTTAAATCAACGAAACATTAACATTCACATCTACGACTCCTCATCCGCGTCTTAACATGTTGAATATCATATTCTGCCGTGGATTCTACCATGCAGGTTTACTCCAGAAGAAGACGAGATTTTTTTTGCTCAAGTCGAAGCGATTTAGAATTAAAGTTATTCTAAGGCCTTATTTTTCACATCTTCAAAAATATGGGTACATTTGTCGATTAATATTCAGTCACTATTCATCGACATTACTTCACTTTGAAACAGTAAGGTAATTCGATTTTGCATTAGTTTACAGGATCTTTTTAAATTGTTTCCACTTTATGGAAGACATTGACTGATAGTTCAACAGCTTCGCAAATTGAATAATGATTTGCGGCGCAATCCCATTTGTCGACTTTGAGTTCTGCTTAATGAACCAGGGGAGGCTGGAAATTACCGAGCGTAGCGAAGTGAGAAGTATGAAAATAAATGGGGAGAATACATGTTTTGTATGGGGGCAAAACACGTGATAAAAATGGGCCAATGGGATACAAAAAATCAAAACAACATTACCTGGCCAAAGAGACGCCTGATTGTGGGTTAAGAATAGCCCGCAATGAGGGAAGCCTGATCAGCAACGAATATATATTACAGAAAGTATTGATGTAAACAAAGTAATGGGAATCATATTACTCTGGATGAATCAGCTTAAATGAAAGAGAGTCGTTCATTTATGCCGGAGGGATGAAGAGTGTTAAGACCGTAGATGAATCGCATTTCTTGTCGTTTACGACTGTCGTTAGTACCGGAATGGGACAGAGGGCTCTAACTCTCATGTCTGTGACACAATCAGGGGTGGATCCAGCACTAGTTCACTAATTTACGTGGCACAAGAAAACTGCCCGTCTTTGAATGCGTTCTGTGCGATTGATGAGATCAACAGATTGTGCAGCCCAGACCTGGGACGCATATAAGTCAGGTGGGAACGAACGAGTGCTAGATATAAGGTCCGACGAACTGAGATTGTCTTGATTTTTATAGTGGACCGTCGGATACATTTGTATCGTGGTTGTTTACCGACCTACAGTGTTCACCAAACCTTACCCTTAGAGATCTTCCAATTTTACCGATATATAGTAAACCACATTAATATATCAACTTTTAAATAATCTTCATCAAAAGGCCGGACAATGCCCACAAGGGAACCTTAAATCCACCAGAGCTTTAAATATGCGCTTTAAGAAGCATTCCAAAGTATACGAGCTCACTTGACTGCATAAATCTCTTCACCAGGGCTTGCAGAACTTAGTTGCATAGGGCTGTCCTCATGGGGGGATGGCAATGACAAAATATAGAAACAAAGAACTTTTGAATATAATGCATAATATATATATTTATTAAAACAGATCCCAAGGAAATTTCCTTGCATTGTGGAAGTCCTTCGCTTCAATTATTCTTTCAATTTTTCAATTTTCCAACTTGCAATGCTAATTCTCTTAATTTGCATGCCAAATCTGCACGTTATGATGGTTGGAAGCTTGTATTTTGCAAGCCAGATGCGAGTTTTCTAAGAGAAAGCCCCCGTTACTGTCAATTCCATTGCGGTTGCAACAACATAGCACAAAGTAACATTGTGGTTAGCGCTATTTACACTTACCGGGTCTAAAGCGCTTTTGTTTACCATCACCGATAAGTCCTGTGGCACATTCGCAGAAATAACTTCCGGGGCTATATATACGATTCAAATTCAAATCGAATGATGATTATATGTTTTGATTTATTCCGACTTGAACATAGCAGGCTAATGTAGCATATATTGCATGGTCAATAGGTCTAATAATTGGTCCGTACGTGTTATCTACAGGGTGACTCAAAAAGTACCCACAATTGAGATATTTTGTTTTCAACATGCATTGTGACCAAATTATTATTACATAGCGAGTTTAAGAAGCACCAAATCTATGATGCGAACATGAGATGAAAATTGCTACTAGTGTGAGGAAACCAGTAATAATGAATAATATTCTTAAATGTTTGCATGGTGACCATCAATAAGTAATTTAGCTTTTAGGTACACCACGTAAGTATTTAATACTGCAAAGCTTTCGGTCCGTTAACCCCGGCCGAATCATCAGTGCAATTACCTTAATACACATTCACAGGTCACTTAAATATCACGTTAGTCGTGATTTGTTAGCTCGCGCCATTAACGGTTTCACTTACCAAATAATTATGAAAAGGAAATACTTCTAATTAAAAAAAAGAAAAATTCTTGAAAATGAAATTCTTGTCAGTTTCGACGTAGTTAGTTTATTTACTAATGTGCCGATTGATGAGGCGTGTAACATTTTTTTTCTGCTTTCGGATGATACGCTGTCTAAAAGGTCTAGCCTTTCTTCCGAAAGTATATAGTATAAACTACTGAAATTTTGCTTGAATGCAACTAGTTTTCTGTGGCATGAGAAATACTACGAGCAAACACATGGTGTTTCTATGGGTAGTCCTTTATCACGAAATATGGTCAATTTATTCATAGAAGAATTTGAAAAGAAAGCTCTTGCTACAGCATGTTTAAAACCTGGTTTCTGGTTTAAATATGTAGATTACACATTAAGTAGTTGGTTGCATGGTTTAGAAAATTTGAAAAAATTTTCAGATCATATTAATAGCATCACCCTTCAATTAAATTTACATTAGAAATACAGAAAGATAATTCATTTCACCATCCTAGCATTAAAACATCAGTATGCAAAACATTAATCAACCTTGCTAAAACAATTTATGGCTCAAATAGCAATGACTCTCAGAGTTAAAGCATTTGAAGGGTGTTCTACACATGAATGGTTTTCTCAAGAAATACAGATCTTGCTATGAATGAACAGCAAAGACATAAACAAGACATTAAGCTTTGAATATCAATCCTCTGTAATAATTATATTGGTCCAGCTTCGTATAAAATCTTTAAAAGAAGTTGAAACACAAGTATACCATTCAAGCAATAACAAATTGTTTCGCGCTCTTAACACGCACAAGGATGGCGTTGATAAACTTCAGAAACCTGGTGTGTACCGCATTCCATTTGAATGTGGTTTGGTTTACATTGGAGAGACCGGTAGAAATCTCTCAATTCGTCTAAAAGAACATAAGACGAACTGCGAAAAAGGTAAACTGGATAAGTCTGCTGTAGCTTATTCAACAAAAGAGAGAGCATTCACCCGCTGTGAGATAACCAAATAAAATATTTTGCATATAATGTTTGCTATAACTCCATTAGTTCCAAATTACCACTGCCAGACATTTCGAGTGGTGGATTGATCACGCCAGACAGCCTCGAATTCCCCCACCTATAGAAAATTGTTCATGATCATCTTTTTCTAGATAATCAGCAAATTATATATTTGGAAATATATATAATAGTTAGCAAAGACTATTGCCACACATTTCCGGTGATGAATTGTTTTTAACTCAAAAATTTGAATGTAAGTCATCACAGTTAATAGAAATGAACTCATTTAAGCCTAGAATGTATGCCAATCGGCCTGAAAAGCAACAGTTCAAAATATTTGCAGTCCATTTCTGTCCGACATTACCAATTGTACTCTAATCTAACGATGATGGAGTGAATTTGAAACGAAACCTGATCCTAGCAAAATTCGCTAATAAATTTACCCTTCAGTTGACAATTCATGTCCATGCATCCCGAATCTTCTATATGATATTAATACTGAATCAATGAAATTGTTAAGTATGAAAACTGTAAAAACAATGTGGTACAAGTACTGCATAATTTGTAAGTATATAGTTATTCTTTGTCTTCTACTTCGGAATGTTCCGAGTCTTCACTCCAGGCTTCCACGTCATCCATGACTGCATCATCGTCGCCATCATAAACATCATCATCTTCACTTTCAGACATTTTCTCCTCATCATCTTTGCTCATCCCCTGTCGTTGGAACTTGGAAAATAACTACTTAGTACGGCTTGCCTATGAAACCACTCTGGCTTCAAAATGTTGTCCTCTGTGTGCCATCCGTATTCAGTTGGTGACAAGCCGTCATGAGGAATCGCAGTCACGGCACGGGTCCACAATGCCGCAACGTATTCGTAGTTTCATCTCGAGTACTTTAAGACACGGCGGAAGCAAGGAGCGAGCAGTCTACTCTTTTGATGTTTGCTAAAAGACTGTCCTAAATAATATGTGGAAAGTGCTCGATATACCGAAGTATAAAGCTAATAAGACGAGAATAAAATACATAAAACTTGGTTTACTTCATGTAATTTTATTCACTGTATATATAAATATATTCACTATAATTATATATATTCACTATAATATATATATATATATAATTATATATATATATATATATATATTATATATATATATATATATATATATAATTATATATATATATATACACCCGTTTGCAAAAACGTTGGCCGCAGATAGATATATAGATAGATACCCGAAATCTAATTAGAATTGCATATGTTGTGTAATATGATTGAAATCCCATGCAAATGTAATCGTATATGCAATTCTAATTAGACTTCGAGTATCTATCTATCTATCTATCTGCGGCCAACGTTTTTGCAAACGGGTGTATATATATATATATATATATATATATATATATATATATATATATATATATATATATATATATATAAATACGGTGCTGTTGAGATTAAAAAAGGCGGCTCAGACTGATTCGCGGTAATCACCACAGCAACCACGCGGTCACATAATACGTATTATCAGAAGTGTAATTTTTACAATTCAGAATACGTATTATATCAGAAGTGTAATCAGAAGTCTTAGTAGTAATTTGTTGGCTTTCCATGGGTAT